AAGTTGGTCTAGCCGTTAGGCGTATTTCAAGGTAGTGGCTGCACCATTTCTGTTCGTTCATGACCAAATGTATTTGTCCGGTTAAAAACCAAACTACCAATTCAATGAAATCTTAACATCTCCAGAGACCTTTTAGATGCTCCAGATAGGCGTACTTCTTTAACTTTCTCGCAATTGTCGCTGGTGCAGGTGTCGAGCTCAGAGTGGCTTTCAAAGTACAGCACCAAGGCCCAGCGCGTTAGCCTTGCTCGCCTTCTCTCGGGCATTGGCTGCAGGCATCGAACGGAGGTCATCAGACCAGGCAGCATGCAGGTTTCGGCCCGCTACTGTGCTGACCTCTTCCCCCTGATTCAAGTGAGAGGAAAGACCCGACATTTTCAACTTACACCAGACCAGTGCAACAATTTTGAACTCCAGGTGGGTTTGAGATTCAGCATTTCGGGGTAGGACTGCTATATTCACTTCTTCCATATACATACTCGAATGAGCTAAACTGACCTAGAATTTACTAAGTACAATAAAATTGAAATAATTTCCAACATATTTGTTTTTCACGGAAAGGCTTATCAGCACAAACTTTTGCAAGAAAACAATGACTTTTGTTAGCAACCTTTTCAAATTAAAACTAGAAAACAATGCTTTCCGGCAATATGCCTCTTTTTGGCACAACATCTTTGCTAGCATAACAACCTTAATGTTAAGTAACTATGACAACTTAGTTAATGTGCTTTATAGCACAGGCGTAGCTGTTCTTATTTATCTTACAGCAGCGCCTGTTAAATCATTTGAAACAAAACGAATTGAATTAAATCCTCCTACCTAATACAACCTTTGCAAAATTTATTAACATCAAAGGACTCGTTATGGCATAACATTATCAGTTAATTCTTGTTTTGTTCAGGTGAGGAATCTGCTGAAACGATACAGAAAAAGGCTTTTTTGGCTTCTGTCAAGTCCGAGGGTATACCTCGGCGTTTTGCTGGAGGACTGCATTATATTCGTCATTGACATTTCGGCGTCAATGCAATGTGTGGTGGAAGATCTTAAGGAGAAACTGGAAAGAATTATCTGGGAAGATGTTTGCAAGTGAGTTGGAATGGCTGAGCATATTTTTAATACATGGTGTGAGAGCGATTCGTAAATAGCAATTTGCTCAAAAACTAACCGCATCGAGAGTCTGACTGACAAGAGTATTTAGAGGACTTGTTCCTGAATCAGAACACATTCGATACCCGGTATTTGTGGGAGGAAGGGACAACCGCTGTCTGTGAATAGGTCAAATGCGCGAATTTTTGAAACCATTATAAAAATACTCATTATTGTCTATTTTAATGTTTAAAAACCAAATTTTCCTAAAACTATTTCCATAAAACACTTTTCATATTATGATAAAGTAATTATATAACATTATGCCTAAAAATACATGGCTTATAGCTGCGCGTTAATACCTACAATTACTACTTGTAACAAGGGAAAAATTAGTCAAGATACCGCGATATTGGGGCACCTACCATTTACCATAGAGTCTTCTTACCTCGCCATTTTTTTAAAATAATCTATATCTTAGTTCGGTCCCAAGTACAGGGACCAGTTAAGTAAGGAAACTAAATATTTCAGCTTCACACAGTGCACTTTTTCTACAGGAACTTTGAAATTCACAGTTCGTTCAGCAAACGTTTTTTAAGAAAAGCATCTTATGAATATTTCAGTGAGTTTAAACTAATATTTGAAAATTATAAAATCACGAATTGAGGCGAATGTTCGCATCCCAGGAACGTGAATATTTTGAGACGAGGAATTTTCGAACACTGGAACAATCACTTTATTAGCCTGAGCTTTCGGGCTCCTGCAGGAGCCCATCGTCAGAGTAGGGAAAACAGCAACAAATGGCTCCTGCAGGAGCCCATCGTCAGAGTAGGGAAAAGCAGCAACAAATGGGGTTGCTAGTTCTGGCGTGTGCACAAAATGGCCAAAATTTGAACGGATAGAAAATCAATAATTGTGGGGTTTTGCCATTGACTCGCTACTGTGGGCTTTGTCAGTATGTGTTAGTGGGCG